GAGGCTTCTGAACATTCTGGCATACCTTAGAAAAACTGAATGTGCCTGTGTGTGTATGTATGTATGTATGGATACAATATTTCATAAGCGATTTCAAGACCGCACTTTAACCGATTTGAATGATTCAAAAAGCATTAGGTTCCTATTGATGTAAAAAGTGCTAATCAGTTTCAGGCAAAGGCAGGTCCATCTGTTTTGAAGCTACGGAACAAGAAGTACAAAAATGGGAGTTCTGTTTTTAAGACAACAGAGATTCCAATTATAAAGATTCAAAAAGTGTTTTACTTGTAATGACAGAGTGAAAAATTGATTATATTTTTGAAAAGGCAGGTCTAGGGGTTTTGACCGTGGACTTAAAAAGCTCCAAAAACTGACACTTGATGGTCTAAAATGATCATTGAGCATATGCGTATCAAATAATCAGATTTTTTATAAAGATTTCAATAATAAGTACAAACTTTGTTTCCATTTCTTTAAAGTCTGTACCAAGAATTATGTTAAGAATTACATTATTATTGTCGACATATTATTGTCGCCAAATTTATAAGCTCTTTTTGTTTTCTTTAAATACGATTGATAAACATTACCGTATTTATAATAATCTGTTTCAAAAATTTTAAAATAATTATTATCAATTTTTGTTTATTATAGATTTTTTACTTCGGTCAAATTTAGTTATGGTACGAAAAGTTTCAGCAATTTGCCCTAAGACCACCACTCAGTTGTTTTTGTTTTTTACACAAAAGACTTATTGATTAGAATACTTGGTTCTAACTACTGACAACAAATTGCGTGTTAAATGAATTTATTCCAACTATTTAACTGATCGCTTCTTACTACAATGTTCCTACCTACCATACCTACCTATAAGATTTTACAATCTGATGGAACATTTTACCATAAGCCAAGTTGCATGAACTTCTCAATATGTGTAAATTATCGACTTATTCAATAAGAATTGAAACTTGACAATTTAAAAATTTGATAATTACAATAGGTTTTAACATTTCGACACTGCCCATTATTCCAAAAATTGATGAAGATCTTTAATTATACCACTTTCCGTAAGCCTAAAATATTTTAAGACGTTCGACGAAGCCAAAAACTCTATCATTGTATTAATTTTCATCAAAAACCGTCAATAAAATCAACATATTACTTAAGAAGAAACGGCTCAGTCGATCTTTACCATGAACTGATCAGCATGATTGCCAACTATATCTTTCGAACGGATGTTAATTAATTTTCAAATTCGGTTCAGAATGTTTAGCAATAACATAGACAAAAACTATTCTATTACATAGATTGGCTTTCGATATTTTGCTAGAAAGCATAAATATGCAGATCGCTGGCAAAAACATACTTCTCCCTTCAGAAGAAGAAGAAAATATTTTATAGTATCTACAATCGTTTGGTTGTAGATTTACATCTACATTACATTTTGACAAAATCAATTTAAAAATAAGAATCTTAAATCAAATGGCCATAATTATAACATTATGATGAAAGAAACCTAATTTCTATCTGTCAAAGTTCCCATATAAACCCCACAATTTATAAGTCTACAATTAATTTACAACTCATGTAAATTTTTCTAATTTTTTTCTTACATTGAAGTTGAAAATATGAAAATCTCTAACAGCATTAGAAATTATTTTCGGTCAAACAGAAAATTTTATGTTCCGCCGGCGCTTTATGCTTTCCTGAACAATTTGACACACTTAGTAAAAAAAAGTGTGAGAGATGATTTTTCTCATGAAAACCATGACGTCCATGTAATAGAATTAAAAACTTTTCTAATGCAGTCATAACCAATAGATAGATTTAGAATTATCGACGCAAATCTTAGTTTCTTAGTCTTGGTTTATTGGTACCAATTATTTAGTTAGAAGGATTTCTATAATTAATCTGAAGATTTGAATTAGCTATATCCATAATGCCCAAAAATTAAAAAAAAACATTTAAATCGTTCCTTTAGATTATTATATTATTTGGGATATAAATCCTAAATAATATAATATTTTAACAGAACGATTTTAATTATCAATAGCCAATCATGTTCAAAGATTTAAAAATATATAAAAAATGTCTCACTTTTATTTTTCTACTGATTTTAAAACATCGAACAAAAATTAAAACTAGATAATTAATTGCAATTTATGACTTCATCTTCTTTAAATAATGTTAAAAATCTTAATATTTTTATGCAGATTTGTATATAGTTCTGCAGATCACATTAATATCTACTAAGGAAAATAAAAAAAATCAATGCTGCAAAACATTCACGTTTCTTCGAAGATTTTGAATTCGAACTTTGGATTTTTTCGAGTGGATGTATATTCTATTAATTTTTAATATAAAATTTAGTTTCATAGTTAAGTTTGTTCACAATACTGGTAGTAACAACAATTTGCCTTAAGACACATTGCATCTAAGCACTAGTTTTTTATATTCTAATCACGTGTTGAACCTTACCCTTGTAGCGGTTCAAATCTAACCAGAAATTTCTACATACAGCACTATGGTAAATATTTACCAAGTGGTATGATACCAGCATTAATTTACATGAAATAATCAGCATCTGCTGAAATCCTTAACCGAATTACTTAGCTTTAAATAATATGATTTACAATTAGCCGCCAATGAAACTTTCCTCTCCCACACAAAAGATAATCGCATCAGGAGCATTTGCATAGGCGCGCCGCCGTCGCCGTATCACTGCCTCAAATTTGTAATTAATTCAATCGCTATATTATATATGAATAGGGGTAGGGGGTTGTTTTATTTCTGATTTCGTACTTTGTTAGACGTTTGATAAAACAATAAAGCAATTAGGTTGTTTCATGAGTTGCTGCAGGAATTGCTTCAACATACGAGGTAAGATATAAAAGAAATTTAGAAAATGTAAAAAAGGACCAAAATGTTTATTTGTGCGTATTTCAAGAATTTACTAAAAACTCTTCTTCTTCGATCACTCAGGTTGTTAGGTTATTATTTAACCTTTGTCGCTGTGGACTGTATTAAAAACACTGATTTTATTTTATATTCTGTATTTGTTGCAGTTCTAATTACAATCACTGATGTATTATTAAGTATTAATGAAGAAAGATATATTTATGTGTATAGGTTAGGTACGTGTTGTTAAGTCGGCTTTACTTTTAGAAGAGAATGACTCGTTCCTCTAAAACACAACGCTACTCCCTCTACCAGGGGTAGCAACCATTCCGTATAGAGCTTAATGCCATGAAGTTTTGTTAACTTTCATGGCCAATATAATAAAATGAAAAGACGTCCGAACAAACAGATTGTCTAATAATCTCTAAGTTCATAAAAATAAATAAATTCACTTTCCAATTAACATCTTTTGAATGAATTTAGAATCTGATTAGAAATTTCTACGAAGTCACACTAAAAATATCTATATGTCCCATTCTATCTAAACCAGAGTTCCTACTCCCAACAGAAATTTCTCCAGTTTATGGATTTTCACAAGCATTTTTAAATTTTCTTGAAAACAGCGACATTGTTTTTTGGACTGTTAACCACAAACAAGCAAAATTTATTTGTGCATGTAAGAGAAACAGTAAACATGTTGTAAGTGGCATTTTGCTTTGTACGAGTATGTTATGTAATTTGGTTAGGTTTTGTTTTTTGCTATTTTGGGTAGGTTCGAAAAAAATTTGCTGTTTGTCATCTTGGAAACATCAAAAAATATTTTTGTAAATCAATTATTTTTGAAAAAAAACTGAAAGTGTGTATTTCTAAATATTATACAATACAGTAATCGTTTTTAGAAATGATGAGGTGGGGCGTGACCCATAAAAGATTGGGAAACACTGGTTTAAACGTTACTGAAAAACAATAAGTGTCTCATTTCTGCTCAATGAAGTAATGTAGATGAAATTTGATTTGGTGCAAAAATAGTATCAAAGTTTAGTTATTTAGTCAAAGTTTAGTCACCGGTTAAATTTGTTATTTCAAATTTACTACCTCATAAACAAAATCTGATTTGAAAACAAAACATTTCATGACTCTATTTAAACAACACTGTGTTAAATCAAGCCTCTCAATGTGTAAATAAACCCCTGCTCTAAAATCATCCCCAATAAGAGGGGCTTCGATCTAATTGAAGACGAGGAAATTTCATGCTTTCTGTTGACAATGCAACCCTTAACGAACCACAAACTAGGGTTAAAAGGACCGACTACTACCTTTAACAAAATTTTTATCATAGCTTTTTGGGGGCGAGAGTTGTTTCTATCGAACTTTTATAGCAAATCAATGAAGAAGATTTTATGTGATTAGATTAATGATTTTGATTGAATATAATAGAAATTATGATTTACTATAGAGACGATTATATGATTTTTAATCGTAGAAATATTAAATAACACATAATAAAAAATAACTACATAGTAGAATATTGTCAAATTTTTGAAACATCTTGATTTAGAAGTAAATACATACTATAGGAACAAAACATCACAAGAAAATCTGAGAAAATCTTTAAACTAAATAACCTATTACTGATAAAACGAAATTGTATAAAAAATAATGTTTTCTTCAACCGGATGATATGCCAAATTTTATTATTATTGAAACTAAACTAAAATCAAATAGAAAATTCTTCAGGCTGAGATATATCAATGAAATAAGTTTATACAAACTTAAAAACGCATTATATTGTTTGATTCATCTTTTACTGGATACAATGTTGGCTCAAGTTATAGACAATTGAATCCATATAATTATAATAATAATAATTATAATAATAATAATAATTTAGTCTCTGTTCGAAGCCCAAATAAATTTGTATATGTAATCCCAAATAAATTTTAACTCAAATGTTAAATTCCGATGATACGAGGATGTCCAATCACTGGATTGGCATTCGATTTAGACACTAAGTACTACCAAAAATTTTCCAATGTTTCATAATGGACTTCCAACAATATATATTATATATGTAAAATATTTTTCTTTAGCTTTCTGATTCTTACCTTTCAATTTATTATTATTATTTGGATGTCCTTCCCGATTCCATGGCGGATCACCATGTCCACTGAAATCTCTTAGTTTAAGGTAGCTGATTGTGAGCCTTATTATACTGGCTTTATCTAACTGTGAGGTTATTGCTGCAGGAAGTGGAAGCATTTTGGCTAATTCATAAAATTCGTAATTTTCTTTTCCTCGCCTCGATCTTGCGGCATCTCTTGATTTTTCTTTTCGCAGCTCGAGAATACTGTAAAGAAAAAAAAAGGTCAGATAAAAATATAAATACAAGGATAATGGATGATCAGTTGTTGAATGTTAGTTAGAAGTAACATAAAGTAATAACTTTATTGTGAAATCTATTCATAGACCCGTATTAAAAGCCATATATTAAGGTAAGTTATGTCTTTTCAGCTTTACAGCATAGTCTTTCATAAGCAAAAATATTTGGTTTGTCTAAGTTGATGTTATCCCAATGTCGAAGAGAGATTTCCCTCACACAAACATTTACGTAGCGAAAACAGTAAATATCAAATAAAAATACGCACTTTTTACACCCAAAAATTTTATTTTTACCCTATTTGGGGTAATTTACCCCGACCACTTATGTAAGTCATGTCTTTTCAGCATGGTCATTTATATGCAAAAATCTAATATAGAAAGTTGTAATAAGCAGCTGGATTTGTGAGACAGCAATTTAGATATTATCAATGTAGAAAATAAGCAATTGTATTGTAATCCTAAAAACATGTTTAACCCTTTTGTTATGGCAACTTTTCCGCCGGAGTAACACTGCTGTACGGATCAGCAATCCGACCAAGTCGATATAAAAAAAAAAAATGTAAAACTCAAAAATTACTAACTAAAGAACTATAAATGTCAATAAAAAACTTGAATTTTCAATAACTTGACTCAGAGCGTTTTACCTAGAAGCTTAAGTCGACGCACTGGACTTCACCTTTATACGACGCCTATATAAAGAGTTAAAATTGTGAAAAGGTGTAACACCAAAAGTATTGATTTGATATTTCATACATTGATACATTGTACTAACTACCCGTTGATTATTGTAACCGCAATTGAAATGTTTTCATTTAGACGTTTTCCAAAACTATTAGCGCAAGATAACCAAATTATCATTGCAGAATGGTAGTTAAAAACATCAATCAATTGAAAATGAAACACATAAGGTTAAAATATACATGTGATGATGTTTAATATATTTTTCTATAAATATTGGATATCAGAATGTAATGCAGGCTCAATATGTTTTGTACTCTATAGAGAAAAAATAAAGTAGGAAGAGAGAAAAACAGCTGGATTGTATTGAAATTGGTTGCGCATTCTGTAGTGTGCAAGTATTCAAAAAACAACATGAGTAAAAAAGACTTTCGTGAAAAAGTGTAATCATAGAGAGCTTCTCCATCGTAGACCTACATTCGAGCGCAGAAACGACTATAAAGAAGTAATTCCTTTATGTAACTCCATCAATTTATATTAAAAATTAACAAACGACTTCAATTGCAATCTCAGTCTACCTCTTATCCCGATCTATTCGACCAGAAACCAACATAGGCATCCATCTTACCCGATTGTGCCTGGTTTTGTTGGAATTGATGGCCTATGGATCGGATAGTTCAGATGTTTCGATCTCGAATAAATCTACAAATTGACTTTATGGCGTCGTAAAGCTTCCTACGTTCCTTGCGATCAGGAGAATTGTACCCGCGCCTTGTACATCAAGTACAACGTGCGGTCATCAGTAATGCAGCGGAATGGCCGGTAGTATATTTCCGAACAATGTTTTTCCAATTAGACAGTAAAAGCATTTCGGTTTCGTGTTTTCTTAGTAGAATATAGACAAATACATTCATTGTAGCTCATGTACAAAGCACGTTTTATATAAATGTCCTGCGCCTAAATAATTTGATACAAAAATTGAATTGAACAAATTAGATTGTTTAGGCCTATTGCGAGTGTATTATTCCAAAAAGCTTCAATAACCAAATTTAAAGATGACCCAAAATTAGTATTTTGATATGTGCAGATTAAAACAGTGATTTTAATAGGTTGAATGTTTATTTTTTACTAAATTTGGTGCAGGGGAGACTGGGTACGGTTGCGCTACTTTTTTTATCATCATGAATTTTGTTAATTTACCAGTTATCTGGGAGAAAAGTAAATTGAACAGTAATTTGAATATTTGCATAAATATTGAAATACTGTCCTTAAATACGATGGATTAGTGACAAAAACATTTTATACAAAAAATGCGCGAGAATCATACCCTCAGGACGGTTGTAACAGGTATAAACATAGATCAAAAAACAATAGGTCAAAATACCAAAAAGATTTTTAACGACTTCTATCACTAAAAATAGAAAAATATATAACACAAAGTAACATTATAATAACAACATATGTATATAACGAATCATAAATTTTTAAACAAAGTTTAAAAGAAATCTTTTTTGGTATTTAATTTCCCTTTTCCTTTTTCTTTCGTATTTTGAATTAGTTAAGTTAGATTTTTCTATATCTGTTTAATCTTTAATTGAAAAAGACAAGAAATACGAGACACAACCGTACTCAGCGCACACTTTTGAAAACAAATCATCATTAAGATTAGTCTAAATTATCTAAGCAAAAACTTATTGCTGGTAAATAACTACTAATAATGTTTAACTTACGGAAAAATAACAAAGTGGTATATCTTTATGCAAATAACAGTTATTAGCAGAAAAAAATCGAACAAGAAAATACTTTTGATTCTTTGAAGGCAATGTGGTCTACAGATCAAGTTGACATTGGGCATAGCAGACTCAATTCAATAATGGAAACTAGTTCGAACAAACATACTTCACATTAATCTTTTGGACCCCATTTCTAAATCAGTACAGTTTAACTGTTATGACAGTCATTACCGTACCCAGTCTTGCCGACTAGAATAATAAGTCTTTATTTTTAAATATTTGATATATATGTCGATTGATAAGTAAGGTGACCATATTTTTTTAGGTCAGAACTATGACGGCAATTTTGGAAAAATTGAAAATAAAAGCCAAAAATTTCTAATTTTCGTAAAATTGAGAATAAAAGTGTGAAATGATGAATGTGATATTCTACTTTAACACTTTGGTATTTTGCATTCGAAATTATTCCCATTTATAAGCAATTGTTTTATGTAAGCATACTCGTTGTTTAAATCATTTGATGGATATTTGTAATTTTATCATCACAAATATAGCTTTTAGGAAAACCTGGGACACAAGCTGGAAATCCGGGACCATCTTTTTTTTAGTATTGTATTGTGTATAAGTACTAAGAACAATGAATTCTTTTTTCAGCCCAAGAATAATATTTTGTATGATTCTGAATTTGATGTTGACATATGTATTAGCAAAGTCTAGTAATCGGGCATAACATCCAATAAAAAACATACATTTCTTTCAAAACTTCACTTTACATCCATACGTTTTAGCTATAATCCTAGCCTTCATTCAGTGAAAACTAAAAATAAAATTGAAAATTAAAACAATTGAGTTGAAGTTAAAAGAAAAAAATTATATAAAGAGTAAAAAGAACTTACAATTAATTAATCGTAGTGTTAAATTAGAACATTCTAACAATCCATGGTCTCAGGATATGGTAATGCACTGCACTGCATGTAATATAAATAATTTCACAAAATATTAACTAAATAATTACATTTAGAAAGTGAAAGAAATTTCTGCTAAAGATGGACTTGCCCAAAATTTGATAATATCCCGGTCAAACCGGGATGTACTGTCACCTTATTCGTAGGTACTTAATTTACAAATAGAGTATAGTTAAATTGTATTTTTTTTAAAATTATTTTTTATATTTGAACAGAAATCAGATCTTAATAGTTATATAAGCTGTGGTGATAATATTTTGAATAACATAGCTTTTTAGTTGGAAGCCCTACAATTAACCCATCTCCAATTAATATAATTTAATTATTAGAATTTTTCTAACACTGGTTTGTCACCCTATTTCTTTTAAATTTCACAATTGTTGAGCATAGCACTTATTATAATTAAATAAGATTTAATATAATACTATTAAACCATGAAAATAAAATGATCTAAAATCCCAAATACAAAAATCCATAGAACCCAAAATAATATAAACGTTCATTCAATATCTCATCCCTTTCAGTAATCCCGACTTTTCGATTCGAATGATGAATCCAGCTGATTACTGATTGCTATTGGTGTGGTCACGTGTCCGTCGCTTCCGGGGGCCAAAGCTCTCATTAAACAAAGCTCTTCCGGTACGAGGCGAGAGATCACCATTCATACACACAAGTTAGGGGTGGGTTGACATCATCGCAATACTACCCTCTCTACTAAGGTATATATTGAGTATCAACAATGATGGGTGATTTTTATAACGTATTTGCAATTTTGATTGAATAATCAATATTTGGTGAAGGTGAACTATTGAAAAATAAAACTAGTTGGTATTGGTATTTTGCCTTGTGGCAAGTTACATGAACTTCCCATTCGAGCTACAATGAATGTATTTGTCTATATGTGTAAATAATCGACTTAATCAATTAAACATAAATTAATTTATGAGTGATTATAAGTATTCCGAGTGGATTTATTACACATAATTGAAAACGAACGAACACGTTAACTAGGAGTATTTTCTAAAAGCAAATTTTCAAAAATCAACAATTTTTGTAATTGAACCAGTTTCCGTAGGACTTTAATGATTTACTATGTTCATCAAGACCAAGTACTCTATCGTTATACCAAGTAAATAGTTCAATTTTAATTTTAACAAACGTCAAAAAAACTACTCATTTTCTCAAACTTTGATGAATTTTTAAAATTATACTTGTCGTCAGGCCGTAATATTTCAGTAAGTTCTGTAAGACCATGATGTATGTCTATAAAAATCGGCTTAATTTTTTTTCAACAATTAATTACCAACTAATATCTTTCGAACAGTTTTTGATTTTTTAAAATCGATTCGGTAGTATGAGCTTAAATATGAACGAAAATTTCAACACTTTTTTTCAAATAGTCAACGAAATGATCAAGATTAGAAGTTCATCTTTTAACAACAAATTAATCCAGCATACAAATCCTACAATTCAAGCGATTCAGAGACCGATAAGAAGATTGAGCAAGAAATGGCCTTCCGATCTACCAACTCCTAGCCCAATGTCTGCACGCGTCCTGACGTAGTACGCGGCATACATCATCACGTCATCGT